TTATATTTGGTTGAGCATGCGTGAATGAGCCGACGGTACGGACCATGCTGCCGGGGTGGATATTGCTACAATCTACTTCTTTGTGTCTTTATTTCTTTGGCAGAATTACAGCGCCACACAGTGGTTAGGCATGCATATTGCAACACATCTCACAGCAACGCCATTAAGGGCAGATTAGACTTCTGCAACCGCATACATCAAATGTCACTTAGGTCTTGTCGCAAACTAGTTTTGCTGGTATGGTTCTGCTCCGTCGGTAGGGAATTTCTAGGGAAGCACAGCAGTTTGCCGCCAAAGCGCAAGGGGGAGCCTTTTCAAGAACTAGTGAGAACTTCGGCGGATGGTCACAAGAACTTCCTTTCGGCAGAGACCTTGGTATCTTTATATAATTTGTCTGAAGCGTCGTACAAGTGGTCGTACTTCCTAAACTCCTTGATTAACCCCTCGAAGTAGTTTTCCATTGTTCCTCGGTTTTTAAAAATGGCGCGCCCTGGCACAGAATCGAGAAGGACAACCACACAGACACTCGGAAAGGCATACCAAGGACCAATCACAGCTGCTTTTTGTCTGCGCACTTCCACTTGAGGTCTGTGCGGTTTTGCAATCGTGCAACACATAGTCAGAATTTTTTTTGAGGTGCGTGACGACGGTTGCAAAACCTCTGCGTGGGGGGCGTGGTCAACCACCGAGACAGAGGCTATGCGTCAGAAGTATAAATTGCCCTTTAGGTTTCAACTTTATCTTCAACTGTTTTTGTGCAGTTAATGTATTCAGCTCCGTATGAACTAGTCTTAAAATTGTGTCGGACGGAAAGGGAGAACTTGACTTTATGTACAATCAGGGAAATTAGAGGCAAACGTCTTTTGGAGAACTGCGCTAGAAGTTGGGAGGATTTGAGCCAGGCCTACTTAGAGTCTTTTAATGGATGCCTTTATCATTTTGGTTCTTCAATCATAAGCACTGAGCTAAACTAATGAAGAAAAAATTAAGTTATATCTTGATTCTAGAGGTTTGGCAAGCACTATTATTAGAGTTAATTGAAATTAATCGAACTAATTTAAAATAAACAAGATCATATATACAAATGAATATGACTTAAACCGGTTTAAAAAGTTCTGGGACTTAAAATCTGTTGGAATTTTTCATTTATATACATTAACCGAACAGATGAGGTCAATATAAACAGGTTGTATTTTCAAATTCAACTGTATAAAAGACCAAGCACGTTTAAGAGCACTATTATTAGATTTAATTGAAATGAATTGAACTAATTTAAAATAAACAAGATCATATATACAAATGAATATGACTTAAACCGGTTTAAAAAGTTCTGGGACTTAAAATCTGTTAGAATTTGTCATTCATATACATTAGCCGAACAGATCAGGTCAATATATTTAAAGAAACAGGTTGTATTTTCAAATTCAACTGTATTAAATACCACTTTCTAGTTATTGTAGTTTAATTGATGCTATTTAATTCCAATTGGTCTCTATTGTGCCGCTTCCGGTAAATCCTGTTGCGTTTAATGGGTGTCGGTTTTTTTATTTCTGACTGTCTGGGGTCGTATTCTGACGGCATTGTTTGGCACAGCATCAGTTTGCTCAGCTTTCCTGCCACGCGTTTCCCTTCAGACCTCAGAGAAAATCACACAGCCAGCAGAGTGGAGGCGTTTTGAGGGAAGAGAATGACATTTACGGAGATTTCTTCCATTTTCTCCAAATAGAAAAACGTCTACACTGTTTCCAGAAAAAAAAAAGCAAAAGTGAAGAAGTTTGGGAACATTTCCCAGAAGACGCGCTTACTTACGTGTGTGCGCTGGATGAGACGCGCCTCAGATGTCTCTGTAGGTTCAAAGTCAGCAACTTTTATTCTCTGCTGGATTTAAAAAGTTTGGGATTTGATTATAAAGTTGGTTTTTCTTGTCGTCAGATTGCCTTCATCCTCCTCCACGTTTTATCCGGGGCCCACAGAAAAATGAATGGCTCCGTCCGCCTCCTCTGTCTGTCCGGCCAGACTCTGCTGCTGCTGCCTGGGATGGGAGTGACTGGCTGACCCGTTAGGGCCCTCCCCCATCCTCCAGCCCCCTGCCTCCCAGCCTCAACTCTAACCAGTATATCATTATTTTTATATCACTTTATAAGCCAAGGAGTTCTTATAATATCATTAAAAGGGCAACATCTGCTTTTAAATTTACATTACTTATTTTTCTCATGTTTAAATGTCCAAAATTAATAAAATCTCACCCAAATTTGGGACTCAATTAAGTGGAGCACAACTTCATCAAATTATTACTGAAGCAAAAAAAAAAAAATTCCAATCCAAGAAATTACCTTAAAGTAAATAGGTGTTTGGTAACAAGGTTACTCGAGTACAGTATGGAAGACCAGGAGAGTCACAAAAAAAAAAATTAACCAGTATATAATCATTTTTATATCACTTTATAAGCCAAGGAGTTCTAATAATATCATCAAAAGGTCAACTTGTACTTTTAAATTAACATTACTTATTTTTCTCATGTTTAAATGTTTAAAATTAATCAGATCTCACCCAAATTTTGGACTCAATTAAGTGTAGCACTACTTCATCAAATTATTATTTAAGCCCAAAGAAAAACTTGCCATCCAAGAAATTACCTTACAGTAAGTAGGTGTTAGGTAAAAATTTTACTTGAGTATGGAAGACCAGGAGAGTCACAAAAAAAAAATCTAACCAGTATATAATCATTTTTATATCACTTTATAAGCCAAGGAGTTCTAATAATATCATCAAAAGTTTAACATGTACTTTTAAATTAACATTACTTTTTTTCTCATGTTTAAATATTCAAAATTAATAAAATTTCACTCACATTTTGGACTCAATTAAGCGTACTTCATCAAATTATTATTGAAGCACACAGAAAAAGTTGCAATCCAAGAAATTACCTTACAGTTAGTAGGTGTTAGGTAAAAATTTTACTTGAGTATGGAA